TTTTAGAGGAAAAATATCGCATTCGAAACTGATATCGAAACTGCACTCGAAAGTCATATTTTTCCTCTAAAAAACACTGCCTTTAATACTTCGAATTGCTTTGTCAAATTTGGTACATGAATTTTTTAATCTCATGACAACAGAAGTGCGATCTCAGAATTCGAGAAATTTTTTTTTAAACCAGCGGAGTCTGCAATACTGGACCATTTTGTCTCAGATCCGACTCACACATTTGGACCGTCCACAACCGAACTTTCCTATTTCGATGATCGTTCTTTTAATCGTGCAAGCGGCGCCCAAGTCTCGAGCACAATCACTCACTCCTTGGTTTTATCCCATTACTTCTGCTCTTAATTCTTTTTCCCTCCTGTGCCGCCCCCTCACCCCCAAACAACCTGGTTAACCTTCGTCTTCTCCCGGTCATAAATTGGCTTCGACTGCAGTTGTGTGATGCGGTCGCTTGGGTTCACATCTCTAATCCGACCACTAAATCCGATTATCCCTCGCTGCGGCGATAGCCTTGCGCCCCCGCTTCGCCTTCGCCTGTGGTTTCATTCTCCACTCATTCCCAGCAACACTGCCATGCTAAGGAAGAACGCCATATAAACATTTCAGAATTGTCTCATTTTCTCTGATAAAACATGTTTTTTTGATGAAATTCATGCACATTTCCCCAGAAGTTTTCAGATATTTTAATCAAATCGCGTACAAAATTGTCTGAACATTTTGGAAAATGATACTCATATTTTTTCCAATATATTCGGTTTTTATCGAAGGCAATTTGGCAACGTTTGAAGGCTCATACGGCGTTCTTCCTTAGCACGGCGGAATAACCCTCGATTTTGCGAATTCTCCTCAACGTATGGAGATATCTTTCCTCGGGACAATTTTGTATTTCAGTGTTTAGCGATGATTTGATCTCTCTTTCGGTCTAGTTGGACTTTTAAATAAGCGTTATACCTAGTGCTAATTTCATGAGCGGTTAGTTTATAGGATGTGTAGAAAAACGTTAACCGCTTCAATGATTTAAGCACAAATAGTGTTCTACGTGAAATTATGAAGAGGAGACCTACATCCTAATGCTTGAAGTTGCACCGCCTCTTGTGGTCCATTAAAAAGTACTAAACAACCTTGTGATGATTTTTTTTTCTTTTGAAAGGGAATTTTTGTTAAGAAACGGACGAATTGTGCAGTGGCGATCATTGTAAGTTGGGAACAATGTTTTTTACCCATTTAAATATAAACCATCAATTTCAGATGAGGCAGCTGCCGTAGCGAGAATCGATGTATTCAAAGGATTTAAATGGGGTGTTAACAGTGTTGCCAATTAGCTGGAGTCGCTTTTGGTATCGTGGAGCTCCGTCGAATTAGAGATTTAAAATGTCGTATTCGTCAATTACCCAATAAACATCCGAGATCTACCGATTTTCCTGTAACTGGGGGGGTTATTTAGAAAATGCTAGCTCTCCATGATTGATTTGACGTGGAATAGCCCCTCTCAATTCTTACAGCTCGTCTTGTTTCAGTTTTTATGAAACATACCAAGTGTATCTTGTCCGAGGAAACGTGCATCCGTCACACAGAAGACAGCTAATCAAGAAGGGAGCCAACGTCGTGACGTCTCAAACGACCCGCTCCCGCACGGTTACGACTTGCCGCGCAGTGGAACGAGCAATCGGGATACAAAATGTTTGATTGAATTTGAAAATTTTAATTTTTATTCTGTCATATTATCAGGGCGCCTAGAACAGGTTGGTCAAAAATAAGTACTTTTACAGTACTCTTTCAGCACATTCTTGAGAAATTCAGTACCTCTAACAGAAAAATTCCGTACTTTTTCAGTACCTCCATTTGACGAAATTGGAGGAATTCGATTAATTTGAAATTATGACAAAAATTACAAAAAATTTAAGAAAATTCCGGACCTTATTGCGGAATTTCCGCACTTTTTCAGTACTTCCGGACCGCCCTTAAATAATCAGTACTATTTCCGGAAATTCCGGACTTGTAGACCCGCAATTAAGTCGCAAAATAATTCATACAATGTCGTATTATGTCAAAAATTTGCAATAAAGTTGCAATTTCATCGAAATAATTTTGAACAAAAGATCATGATGAATACAGTTTAAATCTCGATGTTATCGAACGCGATTTTATAGTGATAAAATTACGACAAGACTGAGGATATCACTTGGACAGTGATGACCCTAACTATTTTATGGCCAGAAAATCGTAAAAAAAATGGCAACTTAATTTCAAAATATCGGTACTTTTCCGTCGAAAAATGCTACCATGGATGTCCGACCTCTTTCATTGGCTCGCTCCACTGTGCGCTGTTCCGTTTTAACGCGCCGCCGCCGTTCCGCTGCGAAGTGGTTAACGTAAATTTACGACATAGTGCCTGCCAGAAAAAATATTAATTGACCAATTAGCTTCGCATATTATTATCGCTCCAGCTAAACAAACTCTGCCCGGTTGAAAAGATAAACGCAAATGTAGGAGGTCTATATCAATGTTTCCGTCGTTGTTGGCTAGGAGAACCGCGCTTTCGGGCCGCAACTTGGAACCGAGAACGAAGGATTTTTGGTCATTTTCTGGTGTTGGTCTTAGTAATCTTCTGAAAATTGAGGAAATTCTGTTAAATACCGTATAACCATCCATCAATATTTTAGAAAGGAACTCTGCAGCCTGATTGTTTAAATTTATGTCGGCATGACAAGAATCGAATAGCGACTTATGGCACGGCGCAGATAGGGATGAGTCCTGTCTTATCCTGCTAACTTATCCAGTTAAAGTTTCAACAATCAGGCAGCAGTTCTCTTTTTCATCCGAAGCATAGAAAAAAGTCCGTTCCGTTCGGTATGCCGACTGTGAATACGGTGATTAATGATCAAGAAGCTTTATCACCACTTTTTATTCGCCTCTTGATCATTTTCGATCACTGACGCGACGCGACTTGCTGCTCCATAACAGTATCCGGATCCAATTTCACCATACACACATCGAAAATGCATGGGATAGGCTCTTACAATTGACAAAAAATGACTCGCAATTGGCGTCCCCTCCAGAATGAATCCAGAGGATACATATTTTGAGAATAGATACACAATGGATAGAGAATAAATAATTAGAGAAGAAACATGTATCTGCTTGGTCTATGCCCATTGGTCGAGATGTTGAGAGAGTTTGCGACACTCAGTTCAACCAGACAGCATCACCAAGAACCGGTTTGCCTGCCATTCACTTCTGCTCCCCCAATACCCGCTGCATAAAATCTCGGAATGCATGCAACTTATCCGCACCGGATACTGTTTTAACGCAAGTTCGAATGATCGCGCCAAACACAGTGCAGCCGACGTTAAACTTATAGTAGCGCCTGCAAGACTGCAGGAATACTTCACGCATTGCGCCAAATAACGGGGTTGGCGTCGAACGTATATCAGCGCCTACAAGACTGCATGAATACTTCTCGCATCGCGCCAAACGCAGTGCAGTCGGTCAGTTGGCCTGAAACGCATGGATTTTTTAGCGAAACATCGAATACCTTACCCATTTCCCAATCAGTCACGATTGTCGTTTCCAAATTTTTCTTAAAAAAAACTCTCCTCCTCTCTCCGTTCATCTCGCAATCGATAATACTAATTTTGTGAGTAGGTGACAAACATTTTGTCACAAGAAATCGCAAATGTTGCCCTAATAATGAAGGATATGGATTGAAAAAGATACAAATTTGAGGTAGAGTCTCCGAACTGCGTGTTTCATCCCCTTTTTTTTCGACGTTATTGGAACGAGATTATGGTGCTGGATGGAGTTTTTGGTGGAAGGGAGAGTGTCATGACGGTTATTACGATTTATTCCGGTCGAATCAATGCACGATAAATCAACGACCCGAAAGAAGCGATTCACTTATGGAGTATTCAAAAATCCATAAAATTTGCCGACTACAAAATATGGTCGGTTCTTAGTCAGTTTTTGTTTGAGTTTTGTTTTTACATTAAGTGACATCTTTCTACACCCGTTCTGAAATTCTTGTATGTTTTTATAGAGTTCGGAAATGTACATTGGCGGATCCAGTAAATTGACAACATTGTTTTTCTCCATTAAAACATATGGAAATGTATCGATCCTAGAAGGGGCCAGGTGTTTGACAAGAATCTATCATATAACATAGGTTTAAATGGAGGGAATCCGGCGTTGCCAAATCTCTGGATCCGCCTCTAGAAATGTATTACACAAGGTTTTACACATGCCCTTGCTCCTCTGACGTAAGGGCTCTTCGCTACCTATATGAACATTCTAAGGACTACGGCTGGTATATTTTTTGTAAGATGACCTCGGGATATTTTTTCACGTCTCGGCAAATGCTGCAGAGCCCGAAGTAATGAGGTTGCTGGTACTGTATTATGAGTGTAAGAATAACCCTCCCTTAGAATTTTTAATCTCAACTTGAAATAAAATCTGTGGCTGTGCGAGAGAGTCCCTGTTCGAACTTTTTAAGAACACGATTGTGAGAGGAAAGTTAGCGTCTCCATGCGACGTAAATTAAAAAGTAACAATTTCCCCGCATCGAGGTGAGAATGAAGTAGCTTGCCAAGTCAGTGTCATTGTCGCGAATTCTGCCTATTAAGTAGAGATAAAAAATAGGTCTCAACCAATTTTCGCTCCCGTTTCTCTTGGCCAACTCCTCTCGAATTCCCGACGGACACGGTTGTCCGCTTTTGGCAAAAAAAGAGTTTTATGCATTCTAACTGTAAGTTTAATGCTAAAACCACATTTATGCTATATTTTTTCGATAAAACTTTCGCCTTAAAACCTCGAAGTTTTGTACAAACGGAATTATAAGCTTTTAAAGTTTCCAAATTTTGTCCGACCTCTTCCATTGAGCCGATCCACTCTGCGTCGTTTGGTGATCCTCGTGTGATCCATCTTCGGAACAGTGAAAGGAACTCGCAAAACACTATGTACAAGATTAAGGCAAGAAGCCAGAAATTTAGACTCACCTAAAATTTGACCTAAGACGGTTCTGCCGTCTTCTCCTAAGCAAGCACTTCTTGCGTCAAACGGGTTCGTGAACTGGACGAACGCGAAGCCTTTGTGCATTGAGATTCCTGGAACAAAGAAGCAAGACATACAACTGAAAAAAATACGAAAGGCTCAATGGAAAAATTCCACTGTTCATATTTTAATAGCAGGAGTTTTTGGGTCCTACCGTACTCCGCGGTTTGGGACTGGATTCGTGACAAGTGTGCGGTTTCGTGCAAACCTGCGCGGATATCATAGCCGGCTGCCGAGCTTCTCGAATTGCGGAGTTGCCAAAAAACTCTACACCCAGAGACAAGAGACCATCCGCAGGCCTTTTGGCGACTGATGTTTCTACAACTATTTCTTTCGGGGCTTCTACACTTCCTAACGAACAATCTCCAAGACGATGATTCATAACGAAAATTGCAAGATGCATTCTCACAATATTTTTCAACACTGAACGTAGTTGTGCCGTCACAAATTAATTTTTGTAGCTAGAAACCATTTTGGACACGTATAGATTCGACACCCCGCTAACCCTCCCCCCCTCTCAGAATGCGTCTTCCCTGTTTTGGAGGTCAAAAATAAAATAAAAAAAAAAAAACGCTAAGAATTACCCCCAGTTACCAATTAACATTAAAATTGGTTGATGAAGATTGTCATGCATGGTGTTAAAAAGACGATTTTTTTTCTCCAACTTTGTCGGGCCGTGGCCCCCAAGGAAAGCGTTTTTCGAGAAAAACGTCATACCTCCAAAACGTCCTTTTTTGACCCAAAGAATCGACTCCTTCAATATTCGTTCTTAATCCCGGGACACTCTTTAGAAAGGGACTCAAGTACCGAGTACGTAGGTAAGTTGACAGTTGAATGTTGGAATCCTGTGGGTCTCTTGTCTCTGGTTACATCGTTCATTTGCCGAATTCCGACGTGATTCCATCGCGAATCGGAAAACTCGGAGGTATGACATCACTCGAGCGGGAACGAAAATAAAGCTGTCCGTGAAGACGGATCGGAAAGAAAAGAGGGTGGACGTGAACGACTTCTCGGAGGAGATGACAAATGCGTTATTACTCTCCGCGTGGTGTGCCTTGTAGCAGTTTTGACAAATCGCCGCGCCGCGCCACAGACACAAGTGGGTGATCGCCGCCGCTCCGTTAAGTCAGTTATCACGGCGTCCCTCGCGGAACAGCTGGGTCCTCCCAACGCCGTCCAGGTGACGGATTTTCCGGCCGACATTGTAATATACACTGATGCACTGGGGAAAAAAAACACATTGGATTTAGAGTCGAGACTCTTGAAAACATTGACAAGAAAAATTACTCTCGATTCAATCGGATTTTTGCTTGAATCAAAACGAAATCCGCTTAAGTTAAGGGGCTTCGTTCTTGATTTAAGCTAGAGTCTTATTGAACCAAGAGTACTGTTTCTTGTGGATATTTTCAAGAGTCTGGAGTCTAGATCCAAAGTGTTTTTTTTCCAGTCTAATACAGGGTGATCCAGAGTCGAAAGGCCAGACTGCAGGAGCGTGTTCCATGGGTCAAAATAAGACTTTTTTGTTGTATGAAGTTTCTTTCAGAATTACCCCCAGTCGCCCCCTCCCAAAATTTCGGAAAGAAAATGGTTTTTTCCTGTATTTTGGCAACTGTTGCGAACCAAATCTCATGAAAATGTGTACTATCGTGTGCTTTTATGTCCTGAATCTACATTTACAACAAAAAAGTCTTATTTTGACCCGTAGAACACGCTCCTCCATACTTGCATATTTTCCTCGAAACTTTCAGATGTTGAAGATTCAATCGCGAGCAGAATTTTCAGGAAATTTCAAAGAAAAAACATTTAAAATTTCCTCAAAAACTCGGTTTTTAATCCAAGGAAATTTGGCCACTCCTCAAGGTCCACACGGCGTTTTTCCTTAGCACGGCAGCGTTGAGATCGCACGTCAGCATCGCAACAGAAAAGCATCTAGTTTCAGCAATGGATGCACTACTCGTAAACTACCATGCTAAGGAAGATCTCCGTATGAGCCTTCAAACGTTGCCAAGTTTCCTTCGATAAAAACCGAATTTACTGGGAAAATTGTGAGAATTTTTTTCCCCAAAATTTTAAGACAATTTTGTAGGTAATTTAATGTAAAATATTAGACAATTTCAAAGAAAAATGTGCACGAATTTTGTTGAAAATACATGTTTAATTAAGGGAAATTTGGTAACTCTCGAATGTTCATACGGCGTTCTTCCTTAGCACGGCAGTAAACGTAGCCTCTCATCTCCTCGTTGGCCACTCGGTCCAGAGGTTGACTAACGTGCTTAGCTTATTTTTAAGCGACAGCATATTTCACGGCCTCGTGACTCGGACTATACTCTGTTACTCTAATTCATGTCGCAGTTTAAGCCGCGCCAAGCTACAAGTTATTGCAGCAATTAGAAATCGGTGATTTGGTGTTTTGGCAGGCCGTCCGGTATTTTAAAGAAAATTACTGGTGCGCACCCTGCCGTTTTATTGAGTTGTTGAAAACCCACGTGTGATCCCCTCGCTAAGTTGCCGAGTTTCACGCGTTCTCGTTGTTCCTGATTTTCGCCGTGTTTGTGTACTTGGCGTCGTGCACTGAGAAAAATGGAAGTTGTCGTCTCCTGGACAAAGGAACGTAACTCCGTTCCGATGTTGCCAAATTGACCCCAACATTAAATTAATAGCATCGAAATGTATCCCTGCAATTTGTATCTAAAATTTTCTGATATTTGCATCAAATCTCAGGAAAAATCAATGACATTTTCAGTTAGAAATGCCCAAGATTTTCTTGGTTACACTGTTAAAAATCAATGATTTACTCTGAGTGAATAGCTGGCGCGGTGGAGGCTAANTGAATACACGCTCAAATTTCCGTCTATTTCCGATCAAAATGATGACAAAAATGGCGGTCGGGAGTTAGAAATAAAATTAATGAAAACAGTGTGTTGATTGAAATAAGCACGGTTGCGTGAAAATAGGACGAAGGATGAGACCCACAGCTCCATCGTCTACCATCAAATTTTTGCAGGCCGCAAAAATTTGATGGTAGATGGTGCGCGCCAGTCACCATTTGATCGGAATTTGGTGGAAATGTGAGCGTGTATCCAGGCCTTTGCATAGTTCATCTGCCGAATCCCGACGTGATTCCATCGCGAATCGAAAAACTCGGAGGTATGACATCACTCGAGCGGGAACGAAAATAAAGCTGTCCGTGAAGACGGATCGGAAAGAAAAGAGGGTGGACGTGAACGACTTCTCGGAGGAGATGACAAATGCGTTATTACTCTCCGCGTGGTGTGGCTTGTAGCAGTTTTGACAAATCGCCGCGCCGCGCCACAGACACAAGTGGTCGATCGCCGCCACTCCGTTAAGTCAGTTATCACGGCCTCCCTCGCGGAACAGCTGGGTCCTCCTAACGCCGTCCAGGTGACGGATTTTTAGGCCGAAATCGTGATATACACTGATAATACAGGGTGATCCACGGTTAAACGGCCAGACTGCAGGAGCGTTTTCTATGGGTCAAAATAAGACTTTTTTGTTGTATAAAGTTTCTTCCAAAAGTGCTCGTTGTCGACCCCTCCAATATTTCGGAAAGTAAATAGTTTTTCCTTAATTTTAGCAACAGTTGCGAACCAAATCTCATAAGAGTTTCAAAAGATTAAATCGCGAACAGAATTTTCAGAAAATTTGAAGGACGAAACATTTAAACTTTCTTCAAAAACTCAGTTTTTTATCAAAGAAAAGTTGGCTACTCCTAAAGGTTCACACGGCGTTTTTCCTTAGCACGGCAGCGTTAAGGTCGTACGTCAGCATCGCAACAGAAAAGCATCTAGTTTCAGCAATGGACGCACTACTCGTAAACTTCCGTGCTAAGGAAGAACGACGTATGAGCCTTCAGACGTTGCCAAGTTTCCTTCGATAAAAACCGAATTTACTGGGAAAATTGTGAGGATTTTTTTCCCCAAAATTTTAAGACAATTTTGTAGGTAATTTAATGTAAAATATTAGACAATTTCAAAGGAAAATGTGCACGAATTTTGTCGAAAATACATGTTTAATTAAGGGAAATTTGGTAACTCTCGAATGTTCATACGGCGTTCTTCCTTAGCACGGCAGTAAACGTAGCCTCTCATCTCCTCGTTGGCCACTCGGTCCAGAGGTTGACTAACGTGCTTAGCTTATTTTTAAGCGACAGCATATTTCACGGCCTCGTGACTCGGACTATACTCTGTTACTCTAATTCATGTCGCAGTTTAAGCCGCGCCAAGCTACAAGTTATTGCAGCAATTAGAAATCGGTGATTTGGTGTTTTGGCAGGCCGTCCGGTATTTTAAAGAAAATTACTGGTGCGCACCCTGCCGTTTTATTGAGTTGTTGAAAACCCACGTGTGATCCCCTCGCTAAGTTGCCGAGTTTCACGCGTTCTCGTTGTTCCTGATTTTCGCCGTGTTTGTGTACTTGGCGTCGTGCACTGAGAAAAATGGAAGTTGTCGTCTCCTGGACAAAGGAACGTAACTCCGTTCCGATGTTGCCAAATTGACCCCAACATTAAATTAATAGCATCGAAATGTATCCCTGCAATTTGTATCTAAAATTTTCTGATATTTGCATCAAATCTCAGGAAAAATCAATGACATTTTCAGTTAGAAATGCCCAAGATTTTCTTGGTTACACTGTTAAAAATCAATGATTTACTCTGAGTGAATAGCTGGCGTGGTGGAGGCTAATGGAGATGTTGCACGTGTGAGGAATTTGCGATTGGACTGTAGATTCTTATGTGAAAGTTCGCAAGAAACACAATGGTGCCACTGGTTTTCTCTCAAATCAACTCCCAAGCTCAAAAACAGCTCTCGAGTTGAGGCCAAAATGGAGGGGATATCCCACGCTATCCTGAGAGTCCACCTTTACATCAAGACAAACTCTCCATGCGAAGATAGGGAGCAAATACATTGACAGGGTTGCCACCTTATTTTGGGACTCTTAAACTGAAATCACGGCAATCCTGTGAATGTATTTGCTCCCTATCTTTACATGGAGAGTTTGTCTGTATGTAGAGGTGTCCACCTCGAGGATAGCG